CGTCTTGCTTACAAAATGGCTCTACCTCAAAAAGACAACCAGTTAAAGCGATGTTGTACATTTTGGAAAAACGGACTTTATTGGTCTAATGGTCGTGGTGTAGGATCACTGGTAGAGATTGTGGATGAGAGCCAGTATGTACTAGTAATGATGTCCTTTAAAGAACACATTATGATGTCAGTAGGAAGAGATGTGATAGGAGAGGTAATGAGTGTTTATAAAGAATCCTGTCCCAGTCTAGAGGTAAAAGAGTTAGTTATTGATCCTAAAGAACTAGCCTATCCTGTGAATACACCAAGAGAAAGGACAGTGTATAGTGTAAAAAAGATACTGTCTGCTATTGACAAGGGAGACGATTGCTTAGTTCATGATAATGGAACAAGTACAAGATTGAAGGAGATCCTACCTGATGAATCATTATCAGATATTAGTAACCTGTCACTATTAGGAGGACGTGATATTAAGGTAAGAATTAACACACACAAACTGTTTGATATATTATTACAAGCACTATCAAAAGGTCACATACCATAATAGTGGAACATTTTTGCAGCCAAAAAAATCCATTCAAAATTGATTTTTATGGCTTTAATTTTCTGTGGTTTTGGGCCACGAAAATTTTCTGCTAAACGGTATTTCTGGGAGTCATAATTATTTTTGTGTCATGATTAAGATGACAGTTATCAGAAACACTCCTCATCATCATTATTTTATACTATATTGTGTGTGTAGGGAGATGGAGGAGTAAAGTGTAATAATAATAAAGATAAAGGAACAACAACCAACACTTCGAATGAATCTCAGGAACATGGAAGTACTTCAATAGAGAAAGGACAGTCTGGTAAGATATGTACACATCATCCATTAACAAACATTATTATAATTATTGTACCGTACATTGAACTATACAAACATTATGTATATGTATCAAGTATTATTGGTATTTAATATAATGTATAGATATTGATGTACTTAAGGTCAATGATAAAGTTCAAGAAGCACAGACTGATACACTGCTTGGTAAGACTAAGAGAGTATGTTATATTTGCCAAGTAGTGGGAGTATACCGTAAATGTTCAAATAAAGGCCGGGCTTAAATAAAAGCCTGGTATTAAGAATCTCCAATTATCGATACGGATATTTTACTCAATATATATGCCATAGGCTTTAGAGTGTCCCAAATGGCCTAACTTGTTAAGCTAAGTGCATTGAACTTAGAGTTCCAAGTTCGAGTCCCGTTTTTAATTTTGTTATTTTATTTTACGCAATTTTTATGTCCTGAAAAGAAGTAAATGCCTGGGCTTTTATTTGAACATTTACAGTACACATCATAGTGACTGTGGTTTAATAATGTTTGTGGTTTAATAATGTTTGTATCATATTTATACTTTTATATAGAGACAGCAATTCAAAATGAGGAACCAGCTACTAATTACTCACCCACACAGATCAGTGAGTACAATGATGATCAACAAAAAGGTATAACCACTCACTGTCACTAGTTTTAAAATATATTATATTATATATATTTATTTATTTATTTATTTATAGTTATATTGACTATCAGGGATCTGGTAGATATTTTACGAGTGTTAAAAGATGGTTCCTTTCAAACTATCAAATGGTTTGATCTTGGTCTCTACTTGGGTCTGATTCATAATGATCTCAAGGTTATTGAGACTAACTATCCACGAGATGCTGAGCGATGTCTTAGAGAATGTTTAGCAAAATGGCTTACAGATGATATTGAAGCAACATGGAACAAACTAGCTATTGCTGTAGGTGAAGTAGGAGAGACATCAGTTGCTGAATATATACATGATGTAAGTGAGATTATATTTAATTAATAATAAATTGATTATTAATGTTTAATAATAGAATTGGCAAAATTTTTTGAATTTTTAAACTGCTTGAAAATCAGAAAGAAGCCCCGCCCCGGTAATAGTACAGTGTGACGGGCCAAATATTGCCAAAATGATTAATAGTATAGTGTGACGGGCCAATTATTGCCAAAATGATAAACAGAGCATTTGTTCCTTTTATATTTTATCCTGATGCATACCGTATAGCTTGAAATTTTTGTGGAATGTAAATTTCGTGGTTTTCGTGGTTATGGTGCTGCCCATGAAATTTAAACCCATGAAATCTTTGAAGTGCCATCTCCTTACAGGCTATGTAAACTGTCAACCATGAAAATAAACCACGAATTGCCCCACTAGGAGCAAACCACGAAAATATTGACCCACAAAAATATCAAG